AACAGACAACAAACCGGCAAAGTACGGCGGTTATTAACGTGTCACGATGACGTCATCCACAAACCCAGAACGCTCGCTCGCAGCGGTGGTTCTTGTGCACCGACTACGGACCGCGACGACTATTTTACGCTGCGGCGAGTTTGAACGTGGCTTCGTTAGTTTAGCTCGGCTGTCTCGGGTTAGCTGCCTGTTAGCTGCCTGTTAGCTGACTGTTAGCGGGCTGAAGCCGCGCTGCTTCACAGAAACGTGAAGACCCGTTTAAAGACCGTCGGACCTTTCTGCTCTGTTCTCTGGCGACGGCAGCCAGCGTTTCCTCGGCTGGATGAGACGCTCCGTCACAAACGCGTCTAACGTAATAAACTCATTGCAGGTTCTGAAGCCAAGAAAATAATGTATTGCAGCGATTGTAGGACGTTAAGGTCTCTCTTGTTGGGACAGTGGAAACAATGAAGGAGGGGAGAAGGGGGCAGAAGGGGCAGAAGGAGGGGAGAAGGGGGAAAAGGAGGGAAGAAGGGGGCAGGAGGGGAGAAGGAGGGAAGAAGGGGGCAGGAGGGGAGAAGGAGGGGAGAAGGGGGCAGGAGGGGAGAAGGAGGGGAGATGGAGGGGAGAAGGAGGGGAGAAGGAGGGGCAGAAGGAGGGGAGAAGGAGGGGAGAAGGGGGCAGGAGGGGAGAAGGAGGGGAGAAGGGGGTATAGAGGCTGTCGGAGAAGCTGCCCCTCCTCCTCCTCTGCCTCCAGGAGTCACCTAACCAATCGACATGAAGGTAAGAAGGTATGTGAGCATCACCATCTGCAGGTGATGACGCCTTGATGACGCCGCACTGTGTGCGTGGGTTGTGCGCGTGTTCGTGCTGACATTTGACCTGAATGATACATTTGTGTAAATGTATGATGGAGGGACTTCAAGTACGCAGTGGGTGTATTTGTGTGCGCGTGTGAAGAGTCACTCGAGGTATCAAGAGGCCTGGCATTGTCAAGGGTAACAAGGTGGTATGCTTGACAATCACACACAGACACGCACACTCATGTGCACACGCTCCCGTTGTGACTTCCCGTGGGAATGGCTGATTGGCCGCTGCGAGCCTGCTGGGATGCTCGGTTCCCGTGGCGATAGTAACCAAGCGATCACACCAACCATCTGACCCTCTTAATGTCTCTGCGTGTGTGTCGCCATCTGTGCCATCGGCTCAGGGGAGACGCAACACGCTGAACAGTGATTAAAGCCCCGACAGAGCGAGAATACATTAAGACAGCAGGAGAGAAAGTGAAGAGGAACAATGAGAAGGAGTGAAAGAAAGACAGCAGGAGAGAAAGTAATGACGCGTTTCCACCGAGGGGTACGGGTCGGGTCGGGTCGGTACGGGTCGGGTCTGTTAACCATGATTTGGCGAGCGTTTCCACCGCCAACAGTACCCTCACTTGATAGGCGTGGTGTATTCCAGAAAGTAGTGATGACGTCACTTGATAGGCGTGGTATATGACGGAAAGTAGCGAAAACTGAAAGCTAACCGCAAACAACAATGGAGGACGTACAGCCGATCCTGTTCCTGCTTCTCGATATGTGGCTGTTTGTCACAAGGAGACGACACTCTTTGTTTGAGCAAACTCCGGCTGTTGTTGTCTTTCCCCTTGCGGCACGCGCAAATGACGACACTCTTTCAACCAATCAACGCTCTGCAGTGAGTCTAGCTCCGCCCTTTAGTACCAAACAACCCACGTACCCCAGGTACGGAAGGGTACCCAAAAAGTGGTACGGTACGGTTCGGATTTTTGGTACCTTTCTCAACTTTTGGCAGTGGAATTAAAGGCACAAATAAAAGGGTACTGACCCGACCCGTACCGTACAGCTCGGTGGAAACACGCCATAAAAGGACCATAAGGAGGAGGACAAAAGGAAGAAGCAGAGCGGAAAGTAAAGAAAAAGATGGTGGTTTGTGGCCGGTTGGATCAATGTAAACCAGGAGTTTCTCTTTTGACCATGCAGCTCAATCGTTCATTCTGATCGGCTCTACAACGTGTTTCACAATAAAAGCATGAAAGATGGGAGAGGGATTCCATCACCTCAACCGCTGCGATGCTCTTAATGTGAAACAACATCACGAACATAAGCGATGTGTCTTGCTCTTTTTTTATCCACGCGTAAACACAACACACACACACAGCTGCTGGTCCATTTACATGCAGAGCCATTCCAACACGCTGACTCAGCCGTTCTGCAGACGAGCACGTCTTGTTGTGTGTGCATGCTTCTGTCAGATGGTTGTAACTGCTGGTAAACTACGTGACCAACAACACAACAAACAAACACGCAGACAGAGAATCCTCAGGCACAAACACGCCAGGCTGAGCAGTGCTCCTTTCACCTGCGTATGATCCACTTTCATTAGGACTCTTTGCCAGAACAGTTCGTATTTGTTTTACCGTTAACGAATGCACGTACATTTTCACAGTAAGAGTCCACGCAAAGGAAAGTTTGTATGCTAGAAATTCATCTGTGATGAAAGCAAATACCATGGTAACATTAGAAGAAAAGTTCATTAATGAATTCAAAATATTCATGTCTTTCATCTACATTTCAATAGGTTTGATGTAGGATGTGAAATGTGTCCCTGCTGGGTGCTGTGCTCAGCGTGACCAGTGTTCCACCACGAAGCGTTTTGCGTCCAGACCCAGAGGTTCCATATAGATCTCATCTGACCAGAGCACCTTGTTCCACATGTTTGCTGCGTGTCCCACATGGCTTGTGCTGCATACAGGCCCGGTTAGTGGAGTACACGGCTAATAGTTGTCCTGTGGACAGACTCTCCCCTCCAGCCACCGGGGGACTCTTATAGGGACATCACGGTGCACTCAGGATAAACGTTACCTTTGACTTAGGTGATGATAGAGGAAATGAATCAATAACGTTTACAACTAAAGAGGAAACAAATATTGCATTTCAAGGTGAAGATGTCTCTCCGTCACTGGAGACAATCTGTCCAAACATTCCTTTCTTCTGCTAAATGACATTCCAGTGTCACTAAACTTCAATCTCACCTACATTTTGAGGGACATGTTCATTCTCGCAGATAATGGTCACAGACTTAAAACACCCTCCTCCCAAAGCAGGCTTCAGCAGACCAGTGTGGGGAAGTACATTTCATGAGACATTGCTGGTGTGGCAGAGCAGTCTGTTGCAATGCTTGTCTCAGCTCTGTGCACTGAAGCAACAGCTCAATACGCCGAAAAATGAAATATCAGTGCCAACAGCAACGAGTCTGCGACCACAAACGGCTTTGATTAAACTCAATTATTAAGTGTATCAAGCAGTGCACTGATGAATGAGCATTGCTGTGTACGTGGATGGATAGAAATGCATCTGCGTGCAGCTTCAGCTGCTGACCCTCTCATGTTATTCATATTAATTATTTATCTTTTATAATGGTACCCTGGTATTTTCTGGCATCGCAGACACATTTCTAGCATACAAACTTTCTATTACGTGGACTCTTATTGTGAAAGTGTACGTTGTTCCGGTTCAGCCGCTGCTCTCCGTATCTTCGTTTTATAGCCAAAAAACAACAAAGGGATTCACGGGAAAAAAAAGTTGGTCATTTTCAACAAAAAACGATCCGTTTGGTTTTAAAACCAAGAAGGAGAAAAACTATTCATGTATTTTTGTTTAAACGGTAAAAGGAACTATTAAAAAGCTACACAGACCCAGAAGCAAAGAATATGGAAATGACTTCCTAAATTTACTGGCACTCAAAGATCCTTGAAAGTCTGTGGTGGAGTGAGAGAGGATGCCCTCTCTTCCTCTTCGTCCCAGAAACACCTCTCGTGTTCCAGGTGTTTCTGGGCGTCGGCTTCTTTTCGTAGCAAACAGGTACAAAAAAAAATTCAGAGTAGGTAAAGCTTGTTCGATGAAGACCAATCACAATGAAAGATAGACCAATAACTAATACATTGTGCCTTGAGCCTGTTATTAGTGTCACTTTGCCTCAACCAATAACTCCATAACTGATCATCTCTCATTTTAATGACACAGGGATGCTCAGTGTTAGCATTGGGAGTTATGTATCATTGCAACGGTAAGCTAATTCATGATTGAAAAGTGAAAATATAATTTCCCGCTGGCTGTGGGAAGGTCGGTCTGAGAGAAATGTTACTACGTAATCAGGGTGCAATGGCGCTGCCAGCTTCCGCTGATGAGTGTACAGATGTCACCTTACAGATGTGGTCCAGTTCTGACCAAAATTGGCATCAGATATCTTCTAACCTGCGTAACTTGTTGGGAGTTGTGTTTGGAGCATTTTCAAGCCCAGACGTTTAGCTTTCAGTGGTGTGTCGCATTCATATATCCGTTCATGATGAACTTCTGAAGGTTTGGACTCAGGCTGTGGGGCTTCCCTCAGTGCCACTTACTCTGTAAACGTTATTTTATGAAATTCTAGATCCTCATAATCAATTATAATCATGAGATACATTTCCTGATTAAACGGAACCCATCTATGTAAACACAATTAACACTAATTTTAAACACATTTTTGAGCTTCAAATCATTTTTGCAATAAAACTGTTGAATTTGTGCCGTAAGCTTTGTTTATTTGTTCCAGTATTTCTCGTTTGAGGAAACAAGGCAATTGTTTGTCCTCTGGTGAATCCAACACCTTTCAGTGCCGAAACATTTGTTAGTTCAAAAAAACAAAAAAAACAGTGTGAGCAATCAGACTCATTACGCTCTGATTTCTCAGGAAAGTTGGAAAATAAGCATTACGGTCCGATCCGTAAGATTTACAACTCTGCTGGCACAACAATGTACCAAACAGCTGCTCATCTTCAGGAGTCATTATTATAAGACTACTGCAGCACAGCGGGACAAGTTAAGATGTGAGCGCTCACAGGAAATACAGCGAGTCAAGAGAGGAAATGATGTCACGGAATGAAGACAACGGCTTTTTTTATTTATCAATGAGAAATGAAAGGGACAGCCGTGTGTGTGTGTGTGTGTGTGTTTTCCTACCTGGCTCGCGGAGAAGCAGCTGAGCCATCGCCTGCGAGCTGCCAGCTGAGTTTTCAGCGACGCACTGATAGAAACCTTCATCCGATTTCACCAAACCCAGAATCTGCAGGTTGCTGCCGTCCTGAATGAGACACATTCAACACGTGCATGAAGGCCTTCAAATAGCTTTAAACACATGAAGCTACCACATGGACATCAGGGGATGCGTGTGTGTGTGTGTGTGTGAGTTCATCTCAGATTATGGGATAACAGATTACAGATGATGCCCAGATTATGGTGTTTTGCGATAATACCAGATTAGGAGTATTATATTCTGATGCTCTTCCTTTCGCTTTCCAACATACTATTTGTATTTAGCATTTCCTTCTGATCACTGTTCGGTTGGTATTGTGCTAAACTAGAAGTTCTCCTTACATCACGACATCGATGCAATGTTTTTAAATGTAGCCCAACGTTGCTCTTTTCTTAGAAGTGACGTCCGCTTTAAGGAGCAATGATTCCTGCTGGATGCTGCGTGACACACTGAAGGAGAGCTGCTTTCAGCTGTGAATCTGGATCCCATCTGGACACTTTGTGCGACTCACCACTATCTGGAAGTAGTCGCTGGGGATGACCTCCTCTCCGTTCTTCATCCAGCGGACCAGCGGCGGCGGGTTTCCCGTCACGGCGCACTCCAGCTCCATGTCCGTGGACTCGTAGGCGTACGTGTTGGTCGGGTAGTTCAGGAACTGAGGAGGCGCTGCAGAAATGAACAAAGCAACACGGGAGCGTACAATGTTAGCAGGGCGTGTACTATTCATTACCAGCATTCACAATCGGAGCTGTTGCTCTTTTCTCATCTGCCGGCACCATGCGTACAAAACCAGCGTCGCCTTCATGCGGCCACGCCGTCAGCGCCGAGACAACAAACAGTTTCCTCCCCGTCAGCAAACACACAGACACCAACCGACGTCCTGTAGCCGCCGGAGAACAAACGCACAGACACGCGTTCATGAAAGCCGCAGCTTCCTGTTGGATTTCAACGCGGGAAAAAGAAAACAAATGGCTAATTACCACTAAACATACAAGGGAGGAAAAGGTAGGAAGAGAAGAGGTGAGGACGGGGTGGATGAACAAAGCAGAGGAAGAGAGGAAAGGTAGAAAGCTAGCAGAGGAGGGGAGCCGTCGATACATCATTATGTGCTGGTGTAGCTTTACCACTGCGGTAATGCTCTAATTAAGAGCTAACGATTTCCCTTAAACCCCCGAGCCGCTGCGGCCTCGGCGAGCCCGCAAGCACACGGGCTGCGACGCACGTCCACGACGTCCAGCACCAGAGACAGGAGGACGCGTCTCAACCAAGTGCGTTGTTTGACTTTTGATGCATTTTAGTCTTTTGACTTCTAGTGGCAGAATGTGCTGCTCATGGCTGGGCTTCACAGTCCATGTGTATCTGATAACGCTGTGGCCACGTTGGAGAAGTGATTCCTTCGCCTCTAAGGTCAGTATCTAGTCTCAATATATCAAAGGACTCGTGCGAAACTCTAATCCTCCCCAAATCGATCATCTTGTTGATACTGCTACAGGCTCTCTGAGAGCGCCGCTGGACGAATGGAAACTAGAAGGAGGTTTGCTCCTTGGTATAACCCTCAAACCCACTACTTAAAGCAGTGTCTTGCATTCTCTCTACCTGCCAGCAGGGGGCGACTCCTCTAAAACAAGTAGGATCCTATGAGAAAATGACTTCTTACTCGATGTTCATTTTAAACATGAGTCTCTGAAGTATCAAGTCTTCTTCAATCCGGCACGATGCTCCATTCAGAGTCAAATGAAGCAGATGAGCTTTAGTAGCGAGTTTACTGGGATGGTTTCAAACACCAAAGTAAAGTATATGAAAATGAATATTGGAAATGCCCAGTAGGGGATGAATAGATAAGTGTATAATAGATAAGGTGCATGAACAAGTTGATCGGTACGGGCGCCTGGCGATTGATGATCAGTCACCAAAACATCTGATCCAAGAACAGTTACTTTTAGCTGTTTCTATCTTGTGGAGATTTGGGCCTCCAGTCGCGGATGTTATCCAGGTAAATGGATTTTCTTGAGTATATGTTCTTGTACGGCTAGAAGCAGATTCACAAAAGAGATTCTACCCTTCATCTCACACCGGATGCTACGACACGACCGATTAGCTAAACCTGAAGAGTACAAACCGGTGTTTTTACTCTGGCTGCCTTGGAAGAGGACCGCGCTGCCACCTGATTACCCAGCAGCCTTTGTTGTGTTCGGGGGACCCGCAGACTGTTTGGATGCCTTTTCTTTGCCCATCTGCGATTCTAACACTGATTGCGTGTCATGTGAGGAAACGTGATGCCAAGCGGCAACAGGCAGCACGCCCGTTAATGCCGTTCCACTTCCCGCTGGAAACCGCTGAGAGCGGCCATTCATATGGTAATAAAGATGCATCAACAAGCAACGGACCTCCGCCAGGCACAACCACGCCATGGTGTCGTCTACACACACACAATCTCACCTGCACCATCGTCACTTATTAGAATTAAAAAAAGGTTATGAAACCAAAGACGGGGAGCGAATAACGTGCTGCTCTCCCTTCATATGTAGCACAAACACCCACAACACACACACACGGCCACACGGACACACAGCATCATCTTCATAGTCGCACAATAATGAGTACCACTCAGCATTCAAATGGAAATCAGCTCTATCGTTCATTTCACTGAACATCTGCTGTGTGTGTGTGTGATAGCAGAGAAGGATACTCATACGAACACACATAGCTACAGCCAGGTACACACACACACACACACAAACACACACACACACACACAGTTAAACTCTCTTTGTGTCAACAGAAACTCGTTAACCGCCTCTTTATATCTGCACTTAACCACCAATTATTTGTCATTAAGTGCATCCATGGAGGCTCACTACACACACACACACACACACACACTCACGCACACACACTCACGCATTCACTCACACACACAAACGAGCGCAGTCACACACACACTCACTCACACACATGCACAGACATGCACACACACAAACGAGCGCAGTAACACACACACTCACTCACACACACACACATGCACAGACATGCACACACACAAATGAGTGCAGTAACACACACACACTCTCACACACACATGCACACACACAAATGAGCGCACTCACACGCACACTCGCGCACTCACTCACACACACACTCACATGCACGCACACATACGCACACTCACGCACTCACTCACTCACACAAACGAGCGCAGTCACACACACACACACTCACTCACACACACACACACACACACACACACATACCTACACACACACACAGACACACACACAGAATATCTCTGTGAACACGGGGTGTGAAGTAGTTAGCGGGTTGTGTTCAGTCGGGCTGATGTCAAACCACCGTTGTGTGGCAGTTGGTTGCTAAGAGACTAAACACAATACATGCATGTGCGTGTGCATGTGCGTGTGTGTGTGATTTCCATGTTTCTTCTGAGAAAAAAAGAGTGGATTTCTCTGGTGAGATATTTTATATACATTTACATGAGTTGGTGGCCTTTTTTGTGCATAAAAAAATCTTGTAGGGGAGCTGCACAATTTTAGCAACGCACTTCCACAAAGTTGCAGAAAAAACAAGAGACATTAAAAAAAAGAAGCCCCAATTGCCCAAAATATATGGAATGATTATACGTGAACCTCTCGGCCAGTTACAGTTTTTTGCAATCACTACTATTTTCAGAACCGTGATGTCATTTTTCAAAACACTGAATACAAAACCGTCTTCACTTGTAACACCGGCTCTCCAATGTTCAAAACATTGCATTGTGCAATCATATCTTCAAAGCAAACAACGGATTTATCATGAAATACCACAGGAACGTTCATTTAGATCTCCCACAAGATACTATTTGGTTGTTTGTACAATCATTCAATAATGCTGTACAAAATAGATGACACAGGTTTTATTATTGTACTAAATGTAAATACATCCCTGTAAAAGTACTACTATAGTAGAATAGTACACACAGTGGAATCATTGAACAAAATTGGACAGTTATTGAAATGCAATAAAATCCCCTTTTCCCTTTTATTTGAAGTAAAGCAAAAATAAGGTAATTAGCTGCAAAAAAACTAAACTCTGCTGTTCCCACCTGGGAGAGAAAACAAGGTTTGATTACCACACATCTACATTTTCATCAACCCGGTCTTGTGGATCTGGCAACACGTTCTCATCCACATCACAATGGATGTTTTCATTAGGAATAATCTTGGGAATAATCTTGGGGCATGGCGAGTCCAGGCCTGACACTGGTCTGCATGCTTCATCCAGGCCTGACACTGGTCTGCATGCTTCATCCAGGCCTGACACTGGTCTGCATGCTTCATCCAGGCCTGACACTGGTCTGCATGCTTCATCCAGGCATGACACTGGTCTGCATGCTTCATCCAGGCCTGACCCTGGTCTGCATGCTTCATCCAGGCATGACCCTGGTCTGCATGCTTCATCCAGGCATGACACTGGTCTGCATGCTTCATCCAGGCCTGACACTGGTCTGCATGCTTCATCCAGGCATGACACTGGTCTGCATGCTTCATCCAGGCCTGACACTGGTCTGCATGCTTCATCCAGGCATGACACTGGTCTGCATGCTTCATCCAGGCATGACACTGGTCTGCATGCTTCATCCAGGCATGACACTGGTCTGCATGCTTCATCCAGGCATGACACTGGTCTGCATGCTTCATCCAGGCATGACCCTGGTCTGCATGCTTCATCCAGGCATGACACTGGTCTGCATGCTTCATCCAGGCATGACACTGGTCTGCATGCTTCATCCAGGCATGACACTGGTCTGCATGCTTCATCCAGGCCTGGAGACGGGTTGCTTGTTCGTGAGGACACCTATCGTACACCTTCCACCTCCATGAGGAGAAGAGTTCCTCAATCGGGTTGAGGAAAGGAGCGTATGGGGGCAAATACAGGCTGGTAGATTGTGCATGAAAACCTGCTTGCACCATTTGAGCTTGGTGGAACCTGACATTGTCCCACACGATGACATTATCACACCATCAGCTCTACAGACCTGATCCAGCTCATCAAAGAAGAGCTTCATCATATGAGCCAATTGGATCCCTGCGCCCGACCACACATCCTGGTGTTGGCAGAATTGGACAAGCAATTACAAGGGCTGCAGTGTGGTGTGAAAAAGTGGTACATGAGGCGGTAAAAAACAGTGTCTGATAGAGAATGATGATCAAATATCACATCCACAGATAATGTAGTCCAATTGGTTCCACGCTCATTATTTTGAAACCTCATGATCTAACCAGTATTGTTGGTCGGTATCCATAAAACTATGCACTAAGAGTTATCTAGCAAATACTTCTCATTTTGAGATGTTGTAGCGACTGATAGTTAGATCATTGTAATGAAATGAATGGACAATCTTTTCAACCGTAACGTAGGAATTGCATTTTGAAATAGTACTTAGAGTTCTGAAAAACATGCAATTTGATCATTGGTTGTGAGTTTTATGTCAAGAGTTTTGAAAAATGGCATCACGGTTCTGAAACTAGCGGCAAAATGAAAAACTCACGTCCTTTTTAGCTCCTTAATCACTTAATCACGTATTCCCATAAGATGTATATGTTGTACAATGTGTTATGTGCAAAAAGCAAATAAATGCTATTGGACATGATTATTAGATAAAAAATCCAATG